TTGACCATTCTTTTATTTCATGTGGAGTCTACAGAGGTCACGTGGTGAGATTCTGGAAGCAGGCAGACTATCATAGAAGGTACAAGGTGGCCAGGTTCACATGCCTTGTCACTTGGTGGGAATGGCTGGAAGACTGGGCTCAGCTGGAAATGTTGAACAGAGTTCCTACACAAGGCTTTTCTAACATGATGCCCTCAGGGCAGATGGACCTTTTCCCTGGTGGCTCTGGGTTCAACACAAGGCTGGGCAGAAGCTGCAAGGTTCTTAGGACTTGGCTTCTTAGGCTTCCTGGAACTTTGGAACCACATGAAATAGAAGAACTGCCCAACCGAGCCTCTGGCTGAGTCCCTGTCCCATGAAAGCAAGAAAAATAGTAAAATGGATGATTTTAAAACCTCTGAATTTTGAAGTGTATAGTTTGTTATGCAGCAACAGACACCTGTCCACAAAGAGTGTGTCATCTTAGCTTCCAAGGGAATGGAACTAGATTCCACTTCTCAATGGAAGCAGTAGCAAAGAACATGAAACTGTTATTCTACTATACAATTTATCTGAGAGATAGGCAAGCAAGGTCCCTGGCCCACATGTCAGGCCAGGTCCTCAGGGGTGCCACATTTTGAAAAGTTATTCTTGAAATTTTCTAAATCCCTCTTCAGTGGCTTGGATCTCCCAGTCTATTTCTCTTATGATACTCTCTCTGAAATGCCACTCTATCCATGGAGTTGGCCGTATGCTCTGAAGAGCTTCAGGACTCATGCCTATGAGGTTGTCTAGGGCAGCCTGACAAGTAGACTACTTCTACTGGCCAGCACAATTATTTCTAGTACTGCACATTAGAATGGTAATGACTCCGTACTTCTTGGGAGAGTTCCATTTACATTGGATACAGGAGTTCAGGATTCTGGGCTGCTATCAGTCTCCCACCAACCCTAAGGATTGAGTCATCTGTCTAGGTCAATACCACGGGTTTTCCCAGACAGTACTGACCACAGTGCTGCCTCTGCACCCTATCATGCCAGAATAGTGAGAGTAGCAGCATTCTTTATCCGAATGGAGCTTCCCACCTCCACCTGGTACGGGGTGGGCACCCCAATCCCTCTACAGGCTTTATACCACGTGTACCTACAGAAGCAGCCCTGTCTATTGTTTCTATTTGAGATTATTACATCATAATGCCAACTAATTTTTATGATCACCGTCCTCTCTTACCTCTGATCAATACAGTGACATCCTGAACTACGAGGATGGCCTTAAGCTACGCCAGATGAGGGCCAGATACTCCCTGCATGAACGGGACCTCTCTTCTTGCTCCAACTATTTTCAGCGTGTGGAAGTCAAGAATGCAGTCAACACCGAAAAAAATCAAGTTCCAGCCTTTCTGCGAGTGCTCTCTTAAGTGTGGGCGTCCCAGTGGGGGTGTGTGGCGGGGGTGTAGTTACCCCGGCAACAGCACCCCATCCCCTTCCACCTGGGGTTCCTCTTAGGGTCGTCCCTGGTGGGCGGCTCTAGAATCTTGAAGAAGAGTTCGGGAACTCAGCGAACCCAGTCAGCGGAGGCCCACACTGTGAGACAAGAAAGATGGCGTCGGCATCGGTGTCTGTGGGTTCTGATTCTCAGTTCTCGGTGAGTGGCTGTCGGCGTTCGAAGGCGATTAAGGTTGTCCGGCAGTCTCTGCACCTTTCCTCATGTTTCAGGTCTTCCTCACAGCCCAAGTTCTATCTGTATCTTTGAGAACAGCGGGGGTTGCCTAGATGGTCTCAACGCTACCCAGGCTTCCAGTGTGCCGTGTTAGGCTGCACTCTCTGGTTTCCAGCGAAACAGGTCCTGTGCAGCTCTGTTCCTTTCTTTCGCCTTTGGAGCTAGCAGCCCAGGGAGCCAGGGCTCCACTGTGGCACTCTCTGGCGCACATAGACACCACTTCGTTAGTCACGTGAGTGTAACGGCCCCTCTTGGAAACTCGCAGAGACCAGGTAGTCGCACAAGTCTAATGTGCAGCCACCAAGATCAAGTTCCAGGAGTAAAGTGATTAAGGCCTAAAAAATTCAAGAGAAAGCCTGGCATGGTGCTGTACAGCTGTAATTCCAGCACTCTGGGAGAAGGCAGGAGGATCAAAAGTTTGAGCACAGTCTGGGCTACTTAGCAACTTAGTGAGACTGTCTCAAAATAAAAAATTTTAAAGTGGCCTGGAGATGTAGCTCAGTGTGAAGGCTACAGTGCCCCAGTAAAGCGCGCGCGCGCACACACACACACACACACACACACACACACACACACAATCAAGGGAAGACAGAGTTGGATGATATATTGCTATACACTTACACCATAAAATTCTGAATGGTGAATTTTTATTCATGTTTTTCTGCATACTCTAGGCAAACTTGCCATTAGTTTCATCATTAACAAAGCATGGAAGCCAGTATTCATGGGCAGTAAAGAATGATGTAGCATCATGAGTAATGATGTAACCTGCACTAAATAAATGGCATGAGGAAGTGGAGGGGCAAGAAGTACTACATAGATCGATACATACAGGTTCTGGAAAGCCAAGGCCTTCAAAATTATTTGTCAGGGGTCCCACAAACCCTAATCAGACCTGCCAAGATAAATAGACAGGTAGACAAATACACACACACATATTTCCCAGAGCGTCCCTCATCAATTAAATACTAATAAAATAGTCCTTTATCTAATTTCACTTCCCCTGAACCACAGTGCCCATTAGATTGTAGCTGGAGTGATCTGTCTGAAGTGTAAATCTGCTCGTTTGACTCCAGAGGATGAAATCCTTCAACAGTTCCCCACCACCTAAAAAATGAAGTCCATGCTCCTTAGACTGACTTGACCACAGTCTACATCTCTGGTCTCACTTTTAGTCATTTTGTACATTATCTTCTAGCAATATGAAACTATTTGTCAATTCCCTGTGTGTCATGTCTCTGCTTTTGCTTATGTCTTTCCCTTCTGCTGGGTTGCTCTCCCCATGGGGCCTAACTTTCAAGAATCAGTTCAAGTATTATCTCTTTGAATCCTTCTTGAATCCCCAAACTAGGCTAAATATCCTTCGCTAACCCCACAGTTCCTAATTAGCTGTAACCCATACTGACCACAGAGTAGTATAATCATCTATGTAGAAATTTTCTTTCCAGTACATTAAGGAACTTCTCTGACAAGAAGGTGTCTTACTCATCTTCCTACCACAGCCCTTGAATTGTGCTTAATCCATACTATGAGCTCAATGAACATATAACGTAAGATGATCTATGGAAGGAGACCACTGGAATAAACCAGGTGGGCTCTGACAAGCCTAGAAAACAATTCCAGTAGAATGAAAGAGAGGTTGGAGGTCAAGTCATCCACAGAGAAGGTAAGCAGTACAGATCAATTATCCAGATGATTTAGCCATACAAGAAAAAAGAAATGGGATAAAAGACAAAAGTGCAGCAAGATGGAGAGATGGAGTTTTATTCTATTTACAAGAAGGCCTAAACACAGGCAAAAAGTCTAAGAGACTGAGAGGTGGAGAGATCTTCTGGATTTCAATTTCTTTATCTGCCTTCCTCACCTCACAGGGGATGCTCTGAGAATCAAAAGAAAATTATAGGCATAAAAATTCCTTGAGAAATTTGTTTCTATCCAACCTCTGATGGCTTACTATCTATAGAAAAAACCCTACAAATAAAATACTAAGCATGACATTTAAGGTCCTCCATGATCTGGCTCTAAACTTATAATGCTATTATTGCCCATAAGCCCTTTAAACCCAGCCACAGGAAATCCAAGTTCTTCCTCCCTGTTTGCCTTTGCTCAACATATTCCTTCAGCTCCAAATACCCTCCTTTTCATCTCTACCAGGCCAATACAAGAAACACAATGGTTAGTATATTATGTAATACACTATTAAAACTTTATTGATTCTGGGGGGGGGTTGTTTTTAAATTTTTTTCTTTGTTTTTGAGACAGGGTCTCGTCGCTATGTAATTCAGGCTGGTTTTGAACTCACTATGTACCCCAGGCTGGCCTTGAACTCAAGGTGATCCTCCTGCCTCAGCCTCCAGAGTGTTAGGATTACAGGTGTGTGGCCCTACACCTGGATAAAACTTTATCAATGTTTGAAGGGCCTATTCATATGCCATTTAGTCCATGAACACTTTTTGCACTTTTATCAATGGCGGCTTATATGTTACTTAATAATTTCACTTAAGAGTATAATTAACCCTCCCCAAAGACTCTGATACCTGTGCATGACACACAGTAGATGCTCAATGAATGAGAATAAATGGAAAGACTAATATTAGGTAAAGAATGTACATGGGTGGAGAGTCTCTTGAGACACAAAAGTGGGAAAGATCCAGGATACAGGGAAACAGAAGCATTAACTTGTCAAAAGGAGAGGAACATCTCCTCCCATGGAAGGAACTGCAGATAAACCTGGAATGATGGAAACGCAACGAGTCCATGAAGCGTCAGAAGCGTCCAAGTACTTTCAAGTGCCAATTCAAATGCTACCTCCTTCACGTCTTTCCCGAATCTCCTCCCAAAAGCAATCTCAGTTTTTTTGGGAGTCACTTGGCATTTCCTACTTTAAAATATTTCTTTGCATACCTTCTCTGAGGACAGGATTTTCCCCACATCACATAGGACATATGATAGCCGCTCATTTAGTGTCGGTTTATTGTATGGATAACTGGGAAAGGGTAGGAGGAGATGGGCGGGATAGTGAGTCAATAAATTCGAGACAGAAGAGGCGATAGGAAACCCTGCGAAGTGAGAACTCTCCAGACCCACTATTAATACTTGCTCTCAGGCAACCTTGCTCTGAGGACCCCAAACCAGCAGCCCGCGACTGTCTTATCCAATACCTGACTCAAAAGTGAAGACAGGCTTCTGCAAAAACCTACATTCCCTATCCCCACCACTGTGAGGGTGAGCATCTAGCTACACATATCTTCCCTTTCCTGACTTCGTTTTTTGTTTCCCTTCCAACTTCACAACCACCGCAGTAAGGCGCGCTCGCGGGCGCCTAACAGATCTGGGAGGAAGGGTCCTGCGGCCGGAAGCCGGAAGTCGAAAACCGGAAGGGGGGCTGTGAGCACGTGTTTCGAAGAGGTCGGAGTTGCGGCCGCGGGTTGGCGACATGGAGCCGTTGTACCAGCAAACGCACAAGTGAGGGCAGCGTCGGGGACCGGGAAGGGTCTAGGCAAGGCGAGGCCACTCCCTGGGTTTTGGGGTCTGGCGCGTCTGTCAGTACGAAGGCCGAGCCCTTCCGCCGGGACCGCTTGGAAGGTTCTCAAATCCTGGCGCTCTGCCCAGGTCGGCCGCGGACCGAGAGTCCGGCCTGGGGCGCGGAGGCTGGGCCGAATGGCTTTTCGGGTTTGCAAGCCGTGGTTACCTGCTGAGTAGACTGGATGAAGGAAAAGTAGCACTTGCAGGTTACAGTACTTTGTCCAGCACCAGCCAACTCAGTGCTCCGCCTTGATAGAGTTTGTAAGGGAGAGACCAAGTTGGAGACGCTGCCTCTGCCCATTGTTCAGTTTTGTTGACGAGTCAAGGGACGTAGGGCAAGTATTTTTATTCAGACTTGATATGGTACTAAAGGCCAGGTTTTTATGGTACAAAGAAATTGTTATGTAGTGGCATTCACTATTGTTGTATCTGGCTACAGGTTACCTTGAAGGAAATCGAATTTTGGTTTAGCTTCTCATAAATTCCTCGGTGTTCCTTGATTCATATTGTTCTGCGGTTTTGGAACTTGCTGAGTTGTGTACGGTAGTTGGATATGGTAATGGAGGGCGTACCTGACCTTTTTTTGAAAAATAGTCCTTACTTTTTTTTTTTTTTTTGGTACTGGGGATCGAACTCGGGACCTTACACTTGTGAGGCAGGCGGCGGAACCACTGAGCTAAATCCCCGGCCCATTACTTACTTTTTATTATGGCCCATATATATACACACAGAGTAGTTTACCATTTTAAGTGTACGATTCAATGACATATACATTCACAGTTCATATCACCACTATCCATTTCCAGAACTTTGTCATCACCCCAAACAAAAACTAGCACTAAGAAGTAACTCCCCATTCCTTCCTTCTATCCAGAAACCCCTGGTAACTTCTGTTTTAATTTCTGTCACTGAATTTATCTTTTCTAGATCCCTTATGTAAGTAGGATTATACAATATTTGTCATTTTGTTTTTGGCTTATTTATGTCAGCATAATGTTTTCAGGGGGTTCATCTATGTTATAGCATGTATCAGAATTTCATTCTTTTTATGGCTGAATAATACTATATTATAGACTACATGCTATCCATTGATCTGTTGATGGGCCTGGGTTAATTCCACCTTTTAACTATTGAGAATAATGCTGTTAGGAATGTTGCTTTATCTATTTTAGTCTGTTTTCAGTTTTTTGAGGTATACCTATACCTGTCCTATTTTAAGAGCTTTCAAATGTATGCTGTAGTTTCGATCTGATGAAAACACTTTAAGAACACACTCCTCAAGCCTGGAAATGGAATAAAATAGGTACTCATCCACTATAGTGAATTCACAACAAAAGAAAATGCGTTAGGGAGTTAGGACTAAGACGATGATTCTCTTTACTCTTTCATTTTCTGAGCTTATGAGTTTCTTTTTTACTTTGATGAGGAATGTTTGGTTTGGGTGGAATATCTTCTCTAATTCATTCAAAACAAATAGATATTGAATGGGAAAAGTCAGTTATGTTTCCCTGGAGTTTCTTAAAGTTTATCCCTTTTAGCTTAAAAAACAGCAAGGTAAAGCCAGCCAGAGTGTTTTTAGGGTATTATTATCATCTTTCCTGCTGTCCTCATAGACATTTTTTTTTCCTGGTATGGGGATCAAACTCAGGACCTTGCACTTGTGAGGCAAGCGTGGTGCCAATGTGCTAAGTCCGCGACCCCCCTTATAGACTCTTAAGACTTGAAAGAAACTAGTAAGATCTTTTACTCCAACTTTGACTTTGGTCAGGAAGGCCTTTGTAAAACCCAAGACGATCCATGTACCCTGTGTTTAAATATGTACGGGCTCTTTTTTTCCCATCTTTTCTTGAATAAGCAGTTCATAATTGCTCCTTTTTTTTCCTATGTCAAGTTGAAATCTGTCATCTTAAAATGTGTACATTATGGTTCTGGGTCTCCCTTAAGAAGCAGCAACAGGGCCGGGGATTTAGCTCAGTGGTGCCGGTGCCTGCCTTGCAAGCACAAGGTCCTGAGTTCGATCTCCAGTACCAAAAAAAAAAGCAACAAAGAGTAAGCTTATTTCTCCTCCTAGTATGTCAACTGTGTACCAGCTGCTCCATATTAGTGGATTTGTTCTTTCTTTTCCCAGAGACTGGGTTTCATAAGTTCTTTGGACTATTCTTCTGACTTCCAAACTCTTCCCCAGTTACCTTGTTCATCTTTTATTGAGGAAAACCTTTAATTGTTTCTTTTTTTATCTTTAATTGTTTAACAGGTGGCACCCAGAATTGTTAGTCTATATTTGTGCATTTGACTTAAATGTTAATCTAAAGACAGAATATTTTTCATCCCTGACAAAGTTCGTTTTACTCTTCTAACGTAAATGAAAAGTGTTAATACTTGTTTTGTCATAGAACATCCTAACCACTCACTATAGCACAAAATCCTATGTGAACTTCTTGTGCATACAATCACTTTATAAAAATTTCTTACAAAACATAAAAGTCAGTGACAGCCCTGTCATGGAATGCTAGAAATTTTTCCTATTTTGCCTGGGGTATAATTGTTTAGCCTTCCATGAATCCCTCAATCTATATTATCATGAAGCCATATTGATCATAAAATATGAGAAACTACCAGTGCCTTTTGAAATCAACATGAAGTTACTACAGCATCCTCAGTATATCACTCTTTTCCCACTGTTGACATACCCATAGTTTTGTTTCCCACAGGCCATTGATTGTATATCCCACTTACTTGGGATATACTCTAGTGAATAAGTGGGATATACACCACTTATTTGGGATAATACCCTAATGAATGTGTGAATGATGGTCCTCGTTAAACCATTGAGTTTTTTCTCCCAAGTCCTGATGATTGAACCCAGGGCCTCCCACTAAGCTATATCCTCAGCCTTTTTTACATACTTTGTTTTGAGACAGAATCTTGCTGAATTGCCGGTGCTGGCCTGGAACTTGCAATGTTTGCCTCAGCCTCCTGAGTAGCTGGGATTACAGATGTGTGCCGCTTACCTGGCAAACCATTGACTCTTAACACCTGGGGTGTGGGGCCCCATTATATTTAGTTACTTGTGAAATATTTCAAACATAAAAATAGTAACAACCCATATGTCAGGACTCATTAATACACATGCTTCAGATTATTGATTTAGAGGCAGAAGTTGAATTAAAAGCTCCTGCACCTGTTCTCTTCTCTCAGCCCCAGAGATAGTCATCTTCCTGTCTGTGATTTTATTCTTCCTGTATTTGTATCCACAAACAATCTGTACTACTGTTTGTTTAATCTACCAACATGATACTGATACACACTGCTGGGTTTTTTTTTCCATTTAATATTGTCTTATCATAAAGATTCTTATTTTCCATGTTGATATGACTAGATCTATCTCTTTTATTTAAACTGCTTTATAGTTTAATTAAACTGAAATACTAATTTCCTTCTTGATGAACACTTGGATTATTACCAGTTTTTTTGCTACGTATATGCACAGTCCTTTATTTGAAACCCTTAAGGAAAAACTACTGTGGAATTCAGCTTTCTTTAAGCTTTTAGGAAACAAATGTAGTGTATATACCCTTATGCAATACAACATCCTCAGCATAAGGGCAGTACAGGATACATGAGAAAGTGCAGTGAAATTTTATATTGGAATAAACAAAAACCATAGATTTCATGTCTGGTCAGTTTTTACCATCTAATTAGTTTGCAGAAAGCTTGGTTTTTCAGAACTTTTTGGATTTCAGAATTATGAGTGGTGAAATGTGGGCCCATACAGAAATGCTTTGAGGAATGTCACTGTTATATATGTCTCCTTCATATATGCCAGAATCTCTAAGACATACTTTTAGAAGTGGAATTCTGGGTCATATGATAGATGCATATTGATTCTACTAGATATAATCAGAAGGCTATTAAACTTTTACCAGTTTATAATCCTACCAACCAGGTATGAGAGGTCTTATTCCCCCACATTCATGTTAATGTGTATGTTCTTAAACTTGTTCTGATAGGAGCACTATGATCTCATTGTTTCTGTGTTTTCCTGAGTTCCTAGTAAAGTTGAACATTTCTTTACATATTTATTGATCACATAAGTTTCCTTTTCTGTCATTAGCCCTTTGTTCATTTAAATAATTGTTCCATTTGACTTAGCAGTTCTTTAAATATATTCTTGTTGTCAGTCCTATGTTTGCTGCCAGTGTTTTCCAGTCTGCTGTGTTTTTAGTTTTTATTTTTATTTTTTTTCCTGGTACCAGAGATCATGTTTTTATTTTTTCACTTTATGGTATCTTTGGTACAAAGAATTTGTTTGTTTTACTGTAGTCAGATTTGTCTGTCCTTTCCTTTATGGTTTGTAGATTTTGAGGAGGTAGTTTGGAGTTTATTATAAGGAATCTTTGCTGGGCGTTTTGGTGCACACCTGTAATCCTGGCACTTGGGAGGCTGAGACAGGAGGAACACTGTGAGTTCAAGGCCAGCCTGGGCTACATAGAGTTTAAAGCCAGCCTGTACTACAAAGTGAGACCTTGTCTCAAAAACAAACAAACAAAACATCCTTTTTAAACCCAGGGTCATTTTTGTACACCTGTATTCTTCAGAAAGCTTGAAAACTGCCTTTTACATTTAGGTTTTAAAACATCTTGTGTTTTTTTGGTGTGTGTTTAGTAAAGTGTCTTTTTTTCGTATGAATAGCAAAGTGAACTGTCAGCATTTATTGTTATCCATTCTCCTCCTCTTCTTCCTCCTCTTCATTCTCCTCCTCCTCTTCCTAGTCCTCATCCCCCACCCCCTTCTGCCTGCTCTTCCTCTTTCTTCAAGGAACTGGGTATAGAATCCAGGACCTCATGCATGCTAAGCGAACACTATACAATTGAGCTACACCGTATATATAGTCCATTCTTTTCCAACTGATTTGTGTCACCAAGTTCCCAAATACATAAGACTGCTTCTGGTGTCCTCTTCTTTGCTTTTGGGTCTGGGAATTAGGGTTTGTCTTTGTCCTTTGATTCCTGTGCTGCTATCATTATGGCTTTGTAATAAGTGTTAATAACAGGTAGAGTTTGATCACTGGTATCAAAAAAAGAAAGCAGGTAGAACAAGTCATCCCTCCACATACTTTCTCAGAGTTGTCTTGGCTATATTTTGTGACCTGCCCCCATTGTTGTCCCTGCCACTACCTTTCTGATTTGCTTTATTAAGTCACCATTGCATATTTACCTCACTACCTACCTCTAGGGCTTCAATAAAGCCCTAATTCTTCTATCCGTCAGTATTAATAGCTATTCCTGTGGTTACCCTGATCCAGATGTTCCACATGGTGGTTACCTCAGGTTGCATTCCTGAATCAGCTTCCATAACTCCGTCCCCCTCACCCACTCTAAAATATCTTAGACTAACTTCCCTTACTGAAGCAACTTTCTAGACTTGAGACTCTAGTAGTGATTTCTAGTTAACATCTCAGGGTTACAAGGCTTGCCTAGGCATACTCTGGAAGTCCTTAGAATACTTAGATTCTTCTGGTATTCTAGGACTTATTTAGAAGCCTCAGGAAGCCCTGGAAAAGACTAGAGGCCAGCTGCAACCAAATTTAGCCTCTTGTCTGGCATTGGTAAATTTGTGGTCACAGTCTGCAGTGCACACAGTGGAGCAGGATTGCTGACCTTTCCTTCCCTCTAGGCTTGGGGTTGAGGCCCCTTCCATGTGGGCTCTACCATAAGGAGATCATAAGCATGAGGAGGCAGTTGTTTGGGCTAGCATAAGCAGTATTACAAGGACTAGTGATTGGACCCCTTAGAAAGGGTTCTAAAGCTATCCTTGGCCAGGCACTGGGAAGCCTTCAGAGTGTTCTGGGGCCTGATGTCTGGGACCATGTTGCATTTCCAAATGAGATGGCATTTAGGGAAAGATGTTTACCAAATTGGAGATTCCTATCTTTCAGGGCCTTCCTCTGAATGGTTTCCTCCAACTCATGTCTCATCCTCTATTCTGACTCTCCTTCAAGTGGGCCAATCAGCTTATAGCATGACATGCCTTGCAGACCCTTTCACATATCATTTTCTTCATGTTTTCCCTCACTAAATCATGTCTCCCTTCTTCAAAGTGATGCTCAGAACTGCCTCCCTGCACAGACTTCCCAGCTTATGCTTTCTCAGCCTCGATCCTTCTATTTGCTTGCCTTTGCCTCACACCACTGTGCATAGCTCCTCAGCTTTCTATTTGTTTACATTTATGTGTATTGGTTTTCTCCTAAATCTTCTCAGGGCTTTTTCATGTCTATCTGGACTGTCACTCCTAATTACATTGTTTCTCAAAGACAAGAATTATATCTCCCTTGCCATTTGACTCTTTGTATTACAGACCAGAGCTCAGCACATTGGGTCATAGAACAGAGAGTGGGATTGGCTGGATCTGGGTTGAGTTTATCACTTTCTGTGTGACCTTGAACAAGTTACATAACCTTTCTGGGTTTCAGTTGTCTTATTTATGGAATGAAGACAATGATAGTGCTTTATTCACAGGGTTATTGATTTAGCAGTGTTTTGAATACAGCAAACACTCACTAAATGCTACTTACAAGTATTATTATTAATATTAGCATTCACTTATTAGAAATTCATGTATTACAAACCATGCCAAAATGTGTGGCCTAAAGCACCATATACAAATTTTACAGTTCAGCTTGGCTGTCAGTTTAAATCAGTTACATGTTGGCATCAGAAAAATTGTCTTTCCTGACTGAAACACTCTTGATTATTCCTGTCTCACTCATTTCCTCTCTCGTCTTCTGATAGGCAGGTCCATGAGATCCAGTCTCACATGGGACGCCTGGAGACAGCAGACAAGCAGTCTCTGCACTGTGAGTAATTAACTATGGAGACCAGAGTCCTTTCTCTGATGACACGGTGCTAATGGGCTGGGTTTCCTGACTGCATTCTGCCTCAGGGGCTTGATGATTTAGCATGGAATGAGTTTTGTTGGTAGGGCAGAAAGAAAAACCCTATGGCAAAGTCACTGATTTCCCTGATTGTGCCTTTTAGAATCCCAAGTCTTATCCCCCATTACCTTTCCACTCAACCTGACATGGCCCCTGTGGGAATGGAGGTCCTTTCCCCCATCTGTCTTAATCTAATTACCTAGTCTTTAAAGGAATGCACTCCATAAAAATTCAGAGATGTCTAACTGGTCTGGTATTGGCCATTTCTGAGCTGAGAACTCTGGCTTTTTAGGAGGATTATTGAGACATGAATAGCAATATTAATTAGTAGTTAATTGTAGTTCCCACACCATGATTTTTGAGAATTGAGATTTTTTTTAGCCTGTTCCAAGAAAAGGCCCCTTTTTTGAGTCAGCTATACAGACTTCCAGAGAGCTCTTGTCACTTCACTGCTTGGCTCATGCCATGCCTTTTTCTGCATTTTCTCCTCTTTTCCCACAGCTCTCAAAGAATCTCTTCTCTTGCACCAGTACCCCACAGCATCCTAACTTAAACAGCATATATTCACTGTAGGTGTGAAAGCCTGGGAAGGGGCAGTGCTTCTGCTGTCACTTCTTGGTGGAGCAAGAAGCAGCCTAGATGCTTTCTTTTGTGCATGGCTTCATTTCTGTCCATCAGACTTTGTTTGCCCTTCCAACAATCTCACTGTTAAATGATTAGAAATGGAAAAGAGGTCATTTTGACTGTGTCATCAAAAGGAATATGGAAAATGAACATATTTATCATATCTTTTACCTCTGTGGATTCTTTCCTGGGCCTTTCTTAATGATGCTTAGTCAGTTTTAGAGAATCCTAACAGCTCAGCCCATTCCTCATTATACAAAGCCTTTAGGGAACGCTGCTCTGTATGTTTCCATATTAATTTTCCTTTCCTTTGTGCTTTTTATTTTTAAAATTTTTAACCTTATATCTTTAGGGAATTCAGTTGGCATTCCTTATATTAGATGCTTATAATTCTTTTTTTTTTTTTTAGGTGCTTATAATTCGTTTTTTTTGGTACCAGGGATCGAACTCGGGTCCTTGCGCTTACACAGCAGGCGGCGAAACCACTGAGCTAAATCCCTGGCCCCCTGTAATTCTTATTTGAGGCCAGTCTCAAAGGAAAAAGATCTATATCAGAAAATTAAGCTTAAAATATTTGTTTGGGCAATTTTTTTTTTTTTTTTTGGGTACCGGGGATCGAACTTGGGTCCTTGCACTTGCGCAGCAGGCGGCAAAACCACTGAACTAAATCCCCGGCCCTGTTTGGGCAATTTTTAAATGTTACCTTTTAAGGGTAGGAAATTTGTTTCTATAGATTTACTCTTTATAAAAAAATTGACATGTATGTATACACACAAAGGACGATAAAAAATATAGGAGCACTTAAATTTTTAAAAAATTTATTATAGTGAAACACATATTGCCATTAATCCCCCTCAGAATATTCCCTCTCACTTTGAACAGACTTTTATTCATTGTTTTTGCCACATTCTGAAGCAGTTCTGAAAGTCATCTCTCATGTGTTTATGAGGCATGATCAGGAATACAGTGAATGCTGCTGCCAAGTGCCATCCAGTAAAAAGGCAGGCTTGTAAAAATATTATAGTGTGGTTCATCCACCTTAATTCACTGAATCCAGCACCATGCAACTTCTAGCTCTTCCCCAAAGTGGAAATGACCACGAAAGGGAAACATTTTGAATCAATTCAGGACATTCAGATAGCCACAGCAGTGCAACTAAAAAGACATTTATGAAAAAGAAATTCCAGAATGGCTTCAGAAAGTGGCAAGAGTGATGAAATAAGTATGTTTGAAAAGAGCAGGAATATTTTGAGGAAGATTAATGACATTGTGCCTTTTACTGTAATAAATTTCTAAAAATTTTATTTTTATTTTTTTTGGTACCAGGGATCGAACTCCTTGTGCTTGCTAGGCAGGCAGCGATACCTCTGAGCTAAATCCCCAGCCCTTAATGTATTTTTTGATCAAACCTTATATGTATCATGTATGCATATAAAAAACATTAATAGTATACCTTGAGTTTTTTCCATTCATTTGTGTATGCATTTTTCTTCTTTTGAAATACATATTCTTTAGCTTATTTGATATGGAAAAATGTTTGATTTATCATCCTAATTTAAGTTCATTATCTCTTTTCCAGCAATTATTCTTTTTTCTCTTTTATACAGTAGTAGAAAATGAAATACAAGCAAGCATAGACCAAGTATTCAGCCATCTAGAGCGTCTGGAGATTTTGTCCAGCAAGGAGCCTCCTAATAAAAGACAGAATGCCAAACTGTGAGTGCTGACCTGTGACATGGGACTGATATCCTAGGGTCCATCAAGGCAGGCCTTTCTCCTAGGGGAGGCTATAGAATATTACAAAAATCCATCTATGTAAAGATAAAGTCTCCAAAAGGGCACAATTTTATGAGTGATACCCCTCAAAATCAAAAACCCACAAAAGCCTGTGATTTCTTCCCTCTTTGGTGTTATTTTGAAATTTTGCCTCCATTTTTGTTTTTCTGACCAGACCCCTGGCTTCTTGAAACCTAATGCTGGCAGCCAATATGGCTTTATTACTTGGGTCTCACTGGGTTCTTCCTGGGTTGAAATGAAACTGTACTCTTAAATCATCACTTCAGTCAGTCTGTTTATAATGAAATACTGATCTGATGTTTGATACTATACCGTGAAATTAAAATGAAACCATCTTCAACACCTCCACTCCTAGCCCTTGTTCCCAAAAGTTTTATGGAACTTCATTGATACTTTACCTCAGAGATGCCCTTTGGCTTCTTCCAGGAGAGTGATATAATCCATAGAAGGTCAGGAAGGGGTCATCAAACCTTCCTGTTACCTGTTCCCTGCCATGCATCTAGAATCAGAGACCAGCACATATTTAAGTAAAGCTGCTGGGATCTTATGTGCTAGCACCTACTTTAACCACAGTCTCCTTCTTCACTTTCACTATCACTGATCCACATCAAATTTGGGGGGTGGAGGAGAGTACAGAAAGATCTGTCCTGAATACAAAGCCTGGCTGCCTCAAATTGTGCTTCTTTAGGTTCCTGGAATTTAATCTCTCTCTCCATCAATTGCAGGCGAGTAGACCAGTTAAAGTATGATGCCCAGCACTTGCAGACCGCTCTTAGAAACTTCCAGCATCGGCGCTATGCCAAGGAACAGCAGGAGAGACAGCGAGAGGAGCTTCTGTCTCGCACCTTCACCACTAATGTAAGCGGGGGTGGGGGTGTCACGTGACAGATTATTGGGCTCAGCTCAAGTAGCTCAGCTTCATCTTCTGGGGCAGTGGGGGTGAAACAGACTCATGAGACCAGGTGGAAATGACAAGGGCCTTTGTGGGTTGCCACTGAGACAAGGAATTTCTCTTTCCATCAAGTAACCTGAAGAGGAAGTAGTTAAATTGAAGGAACAACAAAAGTGAAAATAACCTGGTTTGACTGTCCGGTGCAGAGAGGTGGAAGTTCACATGGTCGAAATGTTTTTGTGATCAGATAGAGACAGATGATTAGAACTTAGATCATTTGTAGGGAAGGCAGCATTTCAAAGCTGCCTCCAGGCAATTGCCATTGTGCTGTGTATGTGTGTGGTTCCAGTGTCAAATGCATTAAAATGTTTTTGCCTCTGGTCTGGGCAGCAATTTGGAGGAATTTGTTAACAGATGTTTAGTGTTAGATGACCTGCTTGACTTGAGTCTGTTTGAAAATGGCTTGTTCGGCTTTCATGTTTGATTTCTTAGATCCCATTGTCTTGGCCCCTTAGTAGGATCATTGCCCAAAAGTGGATGGCTGTAGAAATACTGGCCTTTTTCTGTGTCCTGTGTAATATGTTCTATCAAATGTGATGGTTTGGGAGTTTTTGTATTTTGTTTCTTACTGAGGGGATTATTTTCTAAAGAACTGTCTGTTTTCTAAACCTGTCATTAGAAGTCATAGCTTTTTCCACTGTGCAGATGCTTAACTCTTATTGCTTCAACCATGCATTGCAGTAGTTTTTTCAAAGTGAGCCAGGATGGGTCTACATAGTCTTTGTTTCTCTAGGGTAAGCAGTCAAGTCACAAAGAACAATTCAAAAATTTAGTATACTATGAGACATATTAAAATACATTGTATGGGGCTGGGCGTGGTGGTATATGCCTGTAATCTCAGTGCTCTGGTATGCGGTATGCTGAGGGAGGAGGACTGCAAGTTTGAGTCCAGCCTAGGCAATTTAGTGAGACCTTGCCTCAAAAGGGGGACACGGGCCCGGGATTTAGCTCAGTGGTTCCAGTGCCTGCCTTGCAAGTGTGAGGTCCCGAGTTCGATGCCTGGTACCAAAAAAAAAATCTTATCTATATATATAGACTTTTGTATTGCAGAATGAATTTGCACTGGGTTACATCCTCAGTACTCTCCCAGTCATCGTTCCCCCCCCCTTTGATAGTTACATTGTTGCATTCAAGCATTTTTTAGGCCAGGGATAATCTCTCAGGATTATTTTGTTTCTTGTCAGTTTCATGTGAGGCTATATATATAGTAGATCCTTAATAAACATTGACTTGTCAAATGAAACTTTTATGGACATTTTACGATCTGGAGCTATGATATATATTTTCTGAGAGATACTGGCCTATTACCTATTAGCTTTTTAAGTGAGAAGGTAAAACCGATTTGTTTATAAAGGCATTCAATAAATGCTTGTCTTTTATTATTTTCAAATACTGGAGTTTTTTGACCCGCTAGGCCTTAACTGTATGCAGAACACTAAGATGCTGAACGAGTAGAAAGTATATAAGAAAATTGGTAAACGTCACTCTTTCCTCTAAGACACTCCAGTGTTAGCAGGGATGATTGGAATTGTTTAACCTCTTTGTGCCAGTGGAAGTTGGGGTCAAGTGGTAAAAACAGCATGGTGTGGTAGGAGTTTATTCTCATCAGGAAGCAGCAGGAAGACAACACTGTTACACTGTGACGACTTGCTCCTGTCCATAGTTCACTTTCAATGTGAAATGAGAGCTACCAGGACTGGTCTTGCTGTTTCTCTCTACACTGTGATTAACAGCAGGTGCTACATTCAATACTGGGATTCTTGCCCATTAGAGCTCTTATGAGCTATGTGATATTGAATAAGTTCTTCCATCTTTCTGGCTTTCAGTTTCTTCATCTAAAAAATGGAAATAATTAGAGTACCTTATAGAGTGAGGACTGAGTTTAGCATTATGAGTCTGTGAAGTGGAAAGCGCTTGATTAGTACAGATGGGGCATCCTTAATCTGAAAGTCCAAGTTTCAAACTGCTCCAAAATCCAAAGCAGCATTTTGAATTTTCAGATCAAGTCTGCTCAACTGGTAAAATCTCTGCTAATACTCCAAAATCTGAATACCTGAAATCTGAGATACTTCTAGTCCCAAATAATTCAGACAAGGCATACTCAACCTGTATCGCCCCCCCCCCCACCTTGTTTGTTTAGCAAACTTTTCTTGCCTGCTAAGGAGTGTATTCCCATTGTGAACATGATCAGGCCTTCAATAGAAAACTCGGTTGCTTTGATCCGTAGTCTCAGTCTAATCAGAGGGATAAGCTATAGATAAAATAGCAAAAGAATAAAGCAAACATTTAAACTGTATTAAGGGGAAGCCAAATAAAGGAACATTTGGAACAGTTATCCTAGTAATAAGAGAACGCCTTTAGGAAAAAACCAATGAAATCCTGACGGAATAGTTTTTCTTAAGTGAGGAATTTATACAGGGGGAGAAATTAATGATACTAGTATAGTGGAACTCATTTGGAGAGTGACAATTCTGAGGAAACTACTTCTGTGTGAATGAAGGCCTCCTCACACCATTGCTTTGCTTTTTCCTCCATGTTGGGTTCTCTGACTCTTGCATCATTCCCTCTGGCTATTCTGGGTTGGCCTTGGCCAAAAGACAGAGCAGTCAGATGTGGTGGGATCCCAGGAAATGACTAGGAAGCCAAGTTAATAAAGTGCCTGTGTTCCTTCCACAGGACTCCGACACCACCATACCAATGGATGAATCACTGCAGTTTAACTCCTCCCTCCACAACATTCACCACAGCATGGATGACCTCATTGGAGGCGGGCACAGTATTCTGGAGGGACTGAGGGCCCAGAGGCTGACTTTGAAGGTGTGATCCCCACTGGGGAACAGGGAGAAGGCCTTTTGTTTTGGCTTCACCCAACAGTTTGGAATCTGCTTTATATTTTGATTATGTGTCCTCAAATTTTGATGAGACAGAACCCTTGAGTTTATGTTCCGTTCTGTTGGAGATGAATTATTGTAATCCCCAAAGTAACCAAATTTCCTTCGCCAGTGCTTGAAACAAGCCATCAAGTGGCCTCTCTTGTCTTTCCCTGTGTACTGAACCTTCATGAAATTGAGGAACCAATAGTAGGCTGAGAAGTTCTACTATAGGATCTCCTTTTGTAACAATGAGGACATAGTTCCAGTCTAAGGTGATTTTCCCTTAGGGTCCCAGCTGTTAGATACCGTATAACCAGGACCTTTTTGTACTTGAGTCCTGAGCCCCTATGAGTGGGTTCTCAGGGCTGTCCTAAGACTGCAGTAGATAGCTCCAGAGCACATAGTGGTGCTTTCCAGCAACTCTCACTTTCTCTTTAGCTGTGGGTATTCCTAGAAACCCTGACCCATTGGTACTGCTGAAACTCTGACCCCTTGGGAGTGGTTTACAGAAACATTACACAAACTGATGTCAGTGGTGATGTTTCAGCTCAGCCCTTTTCCTGAATCAGCCCTGGTGGCTAATGGGGTGTGGGCTCTGCCTGTTATCAGGGTGTGGTCCCCTGGAATGAAGCACTCCTAGCCACTGAGCTATGAGAAACAGTCACTCAGAAGCATGAGTTTTATCTTAGTTTTTGTTGGATCTATTGAGCCTGTCAGTGTCACAGGACTCTGGCACATTTCTGAACAGCCCCTGCCATGTTTACCAGGGAGAGGGTCAGGCAAGCTGTGGTGACACTGGCTTCCTGCTGACAGCGGTAGCATTTCAGATGGCCTGTTGGGTGTTCCTCTTTCAGAACAGCCACTTTCAGTAAACAGATACACGTTGACTGGCCTGCCCTTTCTATAAAGAACTGCTATTCTCTTTTTCCATATCTAAGAAAGTGGGTCACCTTTTTAGGACAAGACTCCATGTCACACCAAAGAACAGCATTCAGGGTTAGAGCTGTTGCTAAAGCAAATGTTAGCTTCCTGCTGAGGTCTGGTGTCATGTACCTTCTGTCAGAGATGGAGTGCTTGGAAGCTTATCTGGATGGTTGGGGATTGACCCTCAAAGTTTCTTGCTGACCTCCTACTACCTATCTTTTGTTTCTTGATTCCCTCCACCTGCCTGTCAGGGAATTTTTCTGCCTAAACAATTTGAAAGGAATACAGGAGACAGCCTGAAGGAACTAGGCCAAAGTACCCTGATTTGGACTAACTTGTGGTTAAAAATAGATATACTTTTTGAAATTTAATGGTAACTTTCACGTGGTTTTTTTGCACCTTGTATGATGAAATAATCTGCATGTTAAGAGCTAGGCAAGGTCTGTAGCAAGTCTCATTTTCATTGTCGTGAAAAAAATCTTTTTGGTCTTTTGACAAGTTTGACTTGTGATATCTTACACACACATACACACACACACACACACACATTTTTTTGTGATGTTGAGTATGGAACCCAAGACCTCGGGAATGCTGGGCAAATGGTCTGCCACTGAGCCACATCTCTAGTCCTTGATAACACTTGTCGATGCTTGTCTGGGCAGAATGTTGGTTCTGAATTTTTGTCCATTATGCCTCCTGTTATCTCGCTTCCCTGACCTCCTCTCTGTTGCTCATTAATGTGTGTTCATTAAGAAAATTAATGTGGGATGTAGGCTAGATCCATCCATTCAAGTACAGTGGATGACATGTAAATAAGTAATGAAGTCTGCCCTGTATTTATTTATACTTGTTACTTTATAAGAAATTTAATGTGTTTTTAAAAATTAGAAAGTAGTAAGGAAGGAAAAGCTGGATGGTATGTGCTATTGGTTTGAAGGATACTTTTTTTTTTTTTGATACTGGGGATCAAACTCAGGTCCTTGCACTTGCGAGGCAGGCGGCAGAACCACTGAGCCAAATCCCCGGCGTGCTGTTGGTTTGAGAATAAAATACTCTTGGCGACATTTATATAAGGGGCTTTATAGGTCATTGTGTTTGTCATGTTTCTGTCTTTCCATTTTTTTCCCACTTCAAATCCTCTTGTAAATACAGACTTTGACCCACACATTTGCACACAGTAAAATCGCTGAAGGTTCCACTTTACAAACAGGTTAATATCAAGGTTTTTGGAGCTAGGGAGCCAAGGAAGAGTTTTTTAATGTTTTTTCCTTAACTTAAAACAGTCTAAATTTAAATTTATTTATTGTGGTCTAATTTATATACAATGAATTGATCAGATCTTATTTGTACATTTCAGTGAATTTTGACAAAAGCTACTGGCTGTATAACATACTCCTTTCAAATTATAGAACATTTTTTGTTGTTGTTGTTTTTGTTTTTGTTTTTTTTGGAACCGGGGATCGAACTCGGGTTGTTGCGCTTGTGCAGCAGGCAGCGAAACCACTGAGCTAAATCCCCAGCCCAAATTATAGAACATTTGCATTGCCTCTGGGAGATCCTTTGCCACTTCCTAGCCACACTATCCATTTTCCCAGGCAACCACTATTCTAATTTATCTCACTGTAAATCAGTTTTGCCTGTTACTGAACTTTGCATTAACTATATTCATACTACTGTTTTGTCTGTGGCTTCTTCCTCTAATGTTTTTAAGGTTCATTCATGTTACGTGTTTGGTTACATGTGGTCTTTTTTTATTGCCAAGGAGTATTCCATTATGCAGATATGTCATAATTTGTTTATCCTCTGACTGATAGATACTTGAGTTGTTTCCAGTTTTTAGATATCATGTAGTTTTTGTTTTGTTATTACAGTTTTAGCTTTTATGTTTAATTGTATGATCCATCTCAAATTAATTTTATATATAATGTGAAATCAAGGGCCATTTTTACACTGTATATCAAATATATGTATGTTTAATACATATATGATAATTTATTACATAGCTAGTGGTCCCAGCACTATTTGGAAAAAGATTTTTCTTTCCCCTTTGCATTGCTGTGGTACCTTGATCATAGGAGAGTGAGTCTGTTTCTGGCAGATGTTGCTTTCTATATGACCAAGACCAAGAGATTGTCCATTAATAAAGCTTCAGTTTATTATCACCTTCACCCACCTTTGGCCAAGCAGGTTGATCTTTGTTTTTCTTTACCTTCTCATTTGTCCCAGGGGACTCAGAAGAAGATCCTTGACATTGCCAACATGCTGGGCTTGTCCAACACAGTGATGCGCCTCATTGAAAAGCGGGCTTTCCAGGACAAGTACTTCATGATCGGCGGGATGTTCCTCACCTGTGTGGTCATGTTCCTTGTGGTGCAGTACCTGACATGATCCAGCCATGCCCAGTAGCTGGACAACATTCCCACTGAATGAGAGTGAGTGAGTGTATATGTGCGTGAGAGAAAAGAGGGCTGTGTGGAGGCCACCTTTTGAAATGTATGCCCGCCTTAACTGTGAAGACCACTCAGGATTAATTGTGATCCAGTTTCAAACATGTTTCCTGTGACATCTTTAAAGGAGACCTAGTGCCACCAAGATACATAGTCCTTAGGAAACGAAAAAGGTCTGTTTTCTCTCTCACTCTCACTGTGGGAAGGAAGGAATGGCTTTGGTGGCTGTGTCCACACCCTGGAAGCCTGCTACAGTGAGCCTTGTGTGTGGGACTGTCCACGCTGTTTATACTCATCATCTGGCCTTTGTGGCTTCTAGTGGGTAACCAGGAGTACAGATGAAGAGGAGAGGAAAGAAGCCTTCTTTCCTTGTACCCATTATAGATTGATTCACATGCTCTTGCTTCTTGCCACCCTCTCCACCCTACCTCCCCCAAAAATGACATGTAGATGACTAACTGCTGACATTCATCATCCTTCCCTAGAAGCAGCTACCCAGGGGAAGCAGAAACAGGGAAGCTATTGCTGATAACAAGTAAGCTTTTCCATACTACAGTTGCTGGGTGTCCTTCCTGAAGTGAGGCCAGAGTAGTTCCCTGGGAGTGTTCAGTTGGAGACTAAAGGCCTGAGTTACTGAATTTTTTTCCAGTTGTTAGTAAAATGGTTGATTCTTAGGTTTTGTTTGTTTGGGGTTTTTTGGCACCAGGGATCGAACTCCGGACCTTGCGCTTGCGAGGCAGGCAGTGGAACCACTGAGCTAAATCCCCAGCCTAGATTCTTAGGTTTAGCTACATCTTGACACCTATGCCCAGGCCTTGGTGGACCTTTTCCCCTTAGAATGTAGCAATGAGCAAAGGTTAGCAATTTGTCAGTTACAATCTCATCTCTAATTTTAACAACTCTAATTCTTGCCTTTCTTCTCTCATTTGAAATATATTAGCAACTGCCAGCCAAGCCCCTAGTCTACCCAGCCAGAGTAGGACACCCTGCAGATCTTCTTGGTGTGTATGTCCTTGTGAGAAGGTTTTCAGGGACCAAGACCTTGTTTATTCTCTGCTCAGCCCTGGGTCAAGGCTGTACCAATACCCAGTGTATTGTGCAGTTTATTACAAAGTCAGTCAATCTGGAAGTCCATTGAATGTGATTAATCAACGAAAGTACTAGCAAGACCCAGTTATGTGTTCGTCAAGGGCCCTGCCTCCCTGCTAACCCTAGGCAGAGTAGACTCATGACAAAACAACATGCAAAGTTCCCCAAAAGGACTGAAAACCTGGTCAGTATTAACCTTACCTTTGATTGTCTTGCCCCACTTACTTGCAATGTTTTGTTCCTTTTTGCTTGAACTTTTTCCTCTTTACTGTATATATTCCAGTCTACCTCCCTTTCCTGTTTCTATACCAATATTTGTCTCTTCAGACACATCTGTGGCATAGTTCCCCCTTTGGTGAATTTTTTTCATTGTCACGGGTTTTTAACACAAGTCTCACACTTCTGGTCAGATAGGATATCTGTTGCACCTATTCTGGGCCAAACAACCTTAGATTTCCAGGAAGGAAGAGTGGCCTCTTTTTAAAATGTTCAACAACCCTGCTGAATGAAAATGGCGGTCTAGAGTGGGGACAGAGGGATTGCAGCACCTTCACAACTAGACCTGACTTTGAGAGGACACCATTTGAAATTTTTATTTCACCTAATGGAGGTCTTGGAAGGCTGAAAAATGGATTTTTAGACTGCACAGAATTGGCTGTCCTGTTCCCTGGAAACTTGAGGATCCTGCCAGACAACACACTTTGGAGGAAAGTGTGCCAGTCACAGCTGAGACACTGGACTTGAACTCTGGGAGGCAGAATCTTCTCCAGCCACCTGCCCTCTCGCTGATAGGACAACTTTTGGTAGTGTATACCAGTATGTTTCCACACTTGCCTTTATAGTGATCATTGGACTTGAACCTTCATGCTGCCTCTTCAAAGCCAATTCTCCCTACTTTGGAATAAAACCTGTGGGTCTTTACTGCCTGGGGCTAGGGGGCAAAAGCCAGTGCATCTGGAGACCCCCACACACTGAGCCAGTCCCTCACTTTTGCATTCCGTGCCAGGTGAGAAACAGTGCAGCTATTTCCAGGATGTAGGCAAGGGTCCTAGGCCAGGGGAGGAGTGCCCTCTAGTGGCGTTGGTGGTGGTGAGTTCTTAGGTGGAGCTGGCTGAAACTTCAGCAGGTAGCCTCTGCCACCTGGTGTAAGAGTTGGCATGCTTCTGTTTTGAAACATGGGCTGTGAGGAGGAACCTGGAATATATTACGGGGATGTGTATTCCAGGTGTGTCCACTTTAAGAAAGCCAAACTTGAGAGAGAGTCTTGACTTTATAGAAAGTTTCATTGCTGAGTTTTTTCCTAAAGCCCCTTGATCTTTTGAATTTCAATAGATTTGACTTGCAAATTTGGATTTACACTCATTTTTTTGGGAACATCAGCTGAATAAAGTTGAGATTTATTTTATTTAGAAAATTATATTTTGTAAAAGCATTATTCATTGTTACGACTAATGACCCCTTTGGTGTGTTTCCAGGCCAGAGACTCAAACACTGCTCTGTGATTAGGGGTGGAGCCAGCTGTCTCAGAGGCAGCTGGGAAACTAAAAGACAGATTTCTAGGATCTATCCAAAACTTTCTGAACTAGAACTTTTTTTTTTTTTTGGCCCCGAGGATCAAACTCAACCTTGCGCTTGCAAGGCAGGCAGCAGGAGCACTGAGCTAAATCCCCAGCTAGAACTTTTTTTTAAGTCTCTAACTCATGTGTGTGTGTTGGAACCACTATCTCATAGACAGAAGGCTGTTGTCTTAATCAAAGATGATAGAATTTAAAAGTATATGCTGAACTAGCTCAGCAGTATGTGTGAAAGCAAGACCTGTCAAGTTCAAAATACAATAATTCCTTGACTTAGAAACATTCAAGTTTCACAGGTGTATGGTATAAGACTTACTTTGTCAGATATGAACAAATCTGACTTATGAACATTCTTCTAAAACAGAACTTGTTCATGAGTTGGGGTCTTACTGTAGTCTTATTTATTTTTGGTACTGGGGATCAAACTCAGGACCTTGCACCTGAGAGGCAGGTGTGGTACCACTGAGATAAATCCCCAGCCCTCTAGTCTTTTTTTTTGGGTACCCGGGATCAAACTCGGGTCCTTGAGCTTGCAAGGCAGGCAGCGGAGCCACTGAGCTAAATCCCCAGCCCCAGCCCTCCAGTCTTATTTATAGCCTGCCTTATTTCAGAAAATAATCGAGACATTTGAAAGGAATGAGGCTTGGAGGGTTAGCTCAGTGGTAGAGCACTTGTCTAGTATGACAAGGCCCTGGGTTCCATCCTCAGCACTGTAGTGATGAGGAAGAGGGGTATGTTGAGCAAAGTAATGCCATAACTAAAACTGGAGCATAAAATAAGGACCATCAGCAAAATATCAATATGGAAAAAGAGAAACAAATACAAGTCATAGAGCCCTATAGGCATTCTCTGGGAAACCCTTTGTGGCTTTGAGCCTCAGCAGGCAGAAGTGTGATGTTATTGGGTGAATGGGGTGGGTATATTTTCCCTGTTCCTAAGAGAAGACCCATACCCTTGTACTCCTGGCTTCCTGATGGCCCTTACTGGAAATCAGGCAAAGTTACTTTCCTGCATCTCTACCTCCAACCCTCTGAATTAGAGTATGTCCTGCATTCCCACTGTGTAGACAAGGGACTGAATACCTGAAGGCCCCACAGGGAATCCCTGAGAAGCTGGCTCCTCTTGCCAGACCCATTGCCCAAGCCACACCAACCTGCCTCCAGCATTCCCTTGGAGAAACTGATGGGGTGGGGTCAACCAGGGGTGGGGGATGGGTGCTGAGGAGCATGGCTTGCCTAAGCTGGGCGTAGAGCTGTAAAACATTTGCCACAGACTATTCAGACTACATAGCAAATTCTTGATTCTAAAATATTCAGTTGACTGGGAAGAGGACAGAAGGGTGGAAGGAGGTTCGTGGAAAATCTGAGGTTAGGAGATACACCTGTGCCTTGCCATTAGAGGGCGGCATACTCCTGTCTTTGGCTGGTCTAGGAGTCCTGCTCTATCTGGTCCCTTAGGCCTGCTGTGTTTAGAGGAAGTGGAAGCAACTGTATATTTTGTTGGATTCCCTTCAGATTCCAACTTCTTGGTGACTCTGGGCTGCTATCGAAGCTCTCACGTATGACCAAAAATGACCTCCAAAACCTCAGCTAGCTCTTATTTATCAAAGTGTGGTAGTCATCTCCACCTGCCCCTTTTATGCCCTTGTTTCATGTGGCACACGAGAGGGAAATGAGTGGTGAAGGACTAAGGTGAAGTTGGCAGGTGCTTGGTCCTGGTAAGTTCCCACCTCAGAATCTTTGTGACAGTCTGATCGCACTTCATCCTTTTGTCCTTTAGCATCTGGTCCTCAACTTTGCCTTTACACTGAGATTCCCTTAGGATCTTTTAGAAATGCCCGTGTGAGTGTGAATTTTTGCCTTGACCCCTTCTGATTAATTGGCCTGGGCTGTAGCTGCGCACTGGGAATTGCCCAAGAGATTGCAGTGTTCAAGTGTGGGCTAGAGAAGGCAGGAATGTCATCTCAAGATTAGATCATTTCCATGGACTTCCCTCTGGCCACACTGGGGAACCAGCTGGAGAGGGTGAAAGCCTAATTCTCCCTTCTGGTTTGGGAAGGAGCCAAATCCTTGGCCAGTGGGTACGTCTCATTGACTGATACAACTTTACTGAGAAAAGCACCATAGTGTGACAGACTGGCCCATCCCTGCACCTCCAGTGCACCTCCAGCCCTCCCCACCACACTTGGAACAGCACTCCATGCACCTTGACTGCTTGGCTTGGAACATGCCACACTCTTGCATACGTGCACCTTTGCACAAGATGTTTCCTCTGGCTGTGTTGTAGGTACCCCACCCCCACCCCCATCCAATGTCACCTGTACAAAGCCTGCCTCACCAGTATATCTCGAACGCTGCTTTTCCTGGGGGAATGGTAGTTGCTCCCTTGCTCTTCGGAGACCTTTGTAACATCCCCTACCCATAGTAGCTGTTCAGGAGCTGTTGGATAAATGGACTGTAAGATAACGTGAGCTTAGGCCATACAGATAGCAGAAATGAGTGTAAATGGGGCAGTGATGCTGCTGTGCCCAGGCTCAAAGGAAGCAGAAAGTTCAAGGCTACTGGTAACTCCGGGCCACATGCTCATAGACCCCCAACAACAGCAATGGGAAAAGTAAAAAGGGAGAGGCTCAAGGCAGGGGACCCCATTAGGGAAAATATGTCAGCCAGGACTAGGAAGAGGTCAGCAGAGTGACCATCCTGTCTTGGTTTTAAAGATAAAAGACCTGAATCTTGACAGCCCTCTTAGTCTGGAGTAAACAGGAAGGTTGGTCACTTTAGAGAAGCTAAAGGCTAAGGCAGTTGGAACTGATGCAGAGTGCCCAGGTGTAGGGGGCTGTTACCTGGGAGGCTGACCTCTGACCTGGCCATTCCATTGATGTCTCATGGCCCCTCGGTGACACAGACACTCCTGGAAAACTGGCAGAGGCTTGACCAGGCCCAAGAGGGAAGGCTTCCAACCACAGGAGAGAGTGGGCCACAGTGCAGTGCAGAATATCTACCTTTGTGTGTCCTTCAATGCCTGCCCTCAGAACCCTACATGTCCCCAGTACCAAGTCAACTGTTGGGGCAGACACGGAAGCTGAAAACCATCCCACTCTCTGGATTTTGCAGTGATTATGGAGCTCAGGTCAGCACTAAAAGCCCAAACCCAAGAGACAGCCTGGCTTCAAGACCCAGCCTTACTGGTGTCAGCTATGTAGCATATACCTCTCAACTTTAGCTTTCTTCTTTTAGAACTGGATAACATCTGTCCCTTGTGGCAGACTCCAGAGGTCTGAAGCAGTTATTCTTCACCTTGACAGCTTCCCAGTACTTCCTGGAGTTTACAAGTCCTGATTTGGGGTCTCAACCTCTGAAGTTCTGAGGTGCTTAATCAGGCAGGGCCTGGATTTCAGAACTTTTTTCACTTTCCTGCTTCAGGTGCCTTCCTGATGTGAGGGGCTACTATTCCTGTTTAGCTGGAAACCACCCCTGTTCGTGTGAAACCAGCAGAGGATAAAGTATCACACAGAGTTTCCAAGGTTGAGGAGGGACATAGACTGACAAAGGGCTTGTCTGAAAGCGGGAGGTGATGGATGTTGGCTTGGTTGAAGGAGAGGAAGAATGGGAGAAACAGAGGAAGGGTGTGTGGCCTATTAACTGCTGAGGGTAAAGTTGATTGGAAGATTGACAGCATCATCATGCAAGAGGCTCCACAGCTTCTTTGACCCTGCTCAAAGCCCATGGAAGAAACAGTTGCTACTCCAAGGTCTGAGAAGCCTGAAATGGAGCTAAATCTGGTAGAGGGTAACTCATCAGAGATGGGCAGGCATGGGCTATGCAGATTCTGTGCTCTACCCTCTTCCAACCCAGGCAACAGGTGCTCCTTGGGCAGAGCCCACCCCCTCGCTCTGTTCACCTCCTGGCATCTCCCTATGCCCAGGGCATGTGCAGGAACCGAACAAAGAGTAGGGGAATGGGGACCTCTATAGGGAGATGGAATAATTACCACTGCTGTCTGAAAGACCTTTGTAGGTTGTGAATATCAAAAGATAAAGCCCTGCAAATAAATCTCTAATAGCTCCTTGGTGCTGGCCAGATTCCTGTTGTTATATGCAGAGTGGCTGTAAATTCAGTGTCCATGGTGATTTCTTCCAGGAAACCATTACTGTTTTCTACCTGTGGCGGCGGGTTAGCCTTCCTAGAAGGCAGCTCCAGGAGCCGAATGAGAAGCTTAGATAAGATATCTGGAATAAATTTAAGGTCACCCTTTTGGAGGAAACTGCACTTAAAGATATGGGAGGCCTAGGATATTGACTTAAGGAAAAATAGTCCAAGCCCAATATTGCCTCCTTTTAACATAAAAGAATTGATTTAGTAATTATAAGAGATGTCATGGGTGGGGCAGGAGTTAGATGCCGGGTAAGTGAGGGCAGATCACAAAGGGCATACAGAGGCCAGAGATCCTGTCCAGTGGGGCAGGAGTCGGCAAGAAAGCCAGAGGGTGGGACTAGGCCATGGTTCCTGGGAAGGTTGGAGAGGGGAGCTGAGTTGAAGGAGAGGAGGGTGGGCTCAGTTCACAGGGGCTAGGTTAGGAGTGGACTGCACAGAGAGAATTGGAGGAAAGCTGGAGCAGGGAAGACAAGGCTGAGAGGCCCTAGAGTGAATGCAGATAGAGAAATCCCTAGTTATAATCCTGGAATCAACCAGGGGGGTTAGGAAAAGGTCTGGCTCAGGCCCCAGATTCTAGGGAACCAGGAGCCACTGCTTGGAAGGAGAGTAGCCTCTTTGGTTAAGTGTGCAGGAGAAAGGGTTCACTGGAGCTCTGCCATCTCCCCCAGGATCCCCATCAACCTAGACTC